CTCTGCGTGGCCTGTGTCCACCTGTCCCCTGTGCTTTCCTGGCCTGGTGTCTCCCCGCCCTCCTGCCTCCCACCCTTGCCGGCTCCCCTGGGGTTGCGGTGGGCAGCGTACAATGCCAAGCTGCAGGACATGGGGCAGGGTGGCCACTTCCGGCCCCCTCCTCTCCACCGGCTGCGGCTGCGATCTGCCTCCCTCTCTGGTGGGTCCCCTATCCCCGCTCCCTTGGCCCACAGTTAGCTCCTGGTCTCTCTCTCTCTCCAGACCTGGCCAGCTGCCTTCTCTCCTCCCGGCCCCATTCCCTCCTGTCCCCATCTCCCCTCTGCTGGGTGCTTGTCCTCTTTCCAGCTCTTCCTCGCGCTCTCTGCTCTCCCTGTTTTTCTCTCTGGCCTGCTCCTTACCCTCTCTTTCCTCCCCGTCCTCTCCAAGTCCTCTGTCCCTCCTCTCTGCATGAGCCTGGTCCCCGCTTCTGCATGGATGGGGCCTGATGCTTTCAGCCTTGGGAACAGGTGTGAAGGGGCTAGATGAACCCTCAGGGTCCCCACTGGAGGTAAAGGCCTCCGTGGTGAGGTGCGCAGCGAGGGGTCCAGCACCCTGCCCCCCCAAGCAGATAGTCTGGGCTGGGGGTGGGTGGTCTCAGCAGGAGGTAGGCTGTGCCTTGCTTGGGGCCACCAGGTGCAGGACAAGGAGTGGTCACCCAGTGCCTGCTGCTCGGGCACTGGAGCATCGCACACCCTGGAGACAGAGTACTTCTGACCCCACCCCCATCTGATCCTAGGACCCATGGCCCAGAGTCAGAATCCTGGGCTATGGTCTTGGCCCTGCCTGCGCTCACCCCCGTGACCTTGGGCAAGTCGCTCACCTGTTCAGAGCTCAGTTACCCAATTTGAAACCTGGAGGGTGACAGCCCAGCCTCCAGTGTTTTTCACGGTGGTTTGGAACATCCCGGATGTGGGGGCCCCTCCCTCAGGGCCATGGTACTTTATCTGAGGATGATGACGTCCCCTGATGTCCACTCCAGCTTCCTGGACAGCAGATCCTCAGGCTCGTAGTCCTGGGGAGGGAATCAGCTGGTCTTTCCCAGCTGTTCTGAGCCTCAGGTTGGTGTCAGGGAGGGGACAGTGTGCTCAGGCTTGTCCCACACCATGGCCTGAGAGGCGCTGGGAACCAGTGACGGCCAATGGTGCTGTCTGGTGCCTCTTGGATCCCCCTCCTCCCAGTCCATGGATAATCGGGAGATGGCTCTAAAACCCGGTCCCCCTGTCCCCCTCCTTTCCTGCTGCCTTTTTCTCAGCCCTGTGGTGAGGAGTGCAGTGTCCAGCTGGGCCTGGGCTGGGCAGGTTCCGGGGGTGGTGTGTCCTGAGGGGAGCTGGCATGGCTTGCCCTAGGGCTGCTAGTGTGAGCGCCGCTGCCGTGTGGCTTTCTGGTGCCCTGGCCTAGCAGGTGGCCTTCCTCCTGGATCCCCTTGCTCCTGGAGCCCCAGGCATGCAGTCGGACACCCCGTTCCCGACCTGGAGCTGAGGAAGCCAGTCTTCTGGAAATTGGAAGATTGGGAGAAGAGCTGGGTCTGTGGGGGTGGGAGTGGCCACGGGGTGGGGGAAGGGGACACCAGGGTGTTTGTCCCTGTGACTCGGGTGGGAGAGGCAGTCCTTTACCAAAGTGTTGGGGCCTCAGCGCCCAGAATTGCAGGGTGTGCGTGTGTGTACGTGTGTGTGTGTGTGTGTGTGTGTGTGTACGTATGTGCGTGGTGAAGGCCGGGGTTGCCTCAGGTCTATCTCATGTTAGAGGAGCCTCAGGAGAGAGCTGTCCCCCAACAGCACCGTCCTGGGCAGCATGATGGAGTGCCCTGGGCGGCAGGGCTGCCTGGCCTGCTCCTCCTCAGTTGTGGGGCCACGTGGAGGCTTTGGGGCAGAGGTGCTGCCATCCTCTCAGGGCCGAGGGGAGGACCTCATGCCACTGCGTGTGAGCAGACCTTAAAGGGTGACACAGGGCTCCTTGGCTGGGTGTTGTGATCCTGAAGACCACCTTCTTGTATCAGTGCATCTCGCTTCTCAGTCTTCTTGGAGTAGAGTGCTGGACTTGCTGGCCTGGCTGGGAGAACCTTCCAGAATCCTGCCTTTCTTGGCTCCTTTCTTCACCAGCTTCCTCTGGCCATATGGCCTTCTGCAGGGGTGGGTGGGGCTGACTGTCAGGGTGCTGAGGGCCCCACCAGGATCCCACCATCCCGGTGTCCCGTTGCCCTTCCTGTCGGGTTGGCTGGTGGTGCGTGCACACTTGTGTGCATGTGTATCTGTGTGAGTGTGTGCTGGTCCCTGCCTGTGTGCGTGTCAGAACCAGAGGCCCTGAGAGAGAGTGGGGCTGGGGGACTGAGGAAGTCCTGGGTGGAGGGTGGTGGCCTGGAGCAGTCCTGTTTTATTATTAGCCAGGCTCTGGGACGTGACAGGGGGCTGTTCTCCCTCTGACACGAGCTGTCAACTGGTGTCCAGACGACCCAGCTTGGCTCAGAACAATGGGGCTCTCTTCTCTTCCTCCATCATGCCCAGCTCCCCTCCCTTGGAGAGTGACAAGAGAGAGGGAACGAGGTTCTCCAGGCACTCCAGGGCAGCTCTGGGCTTGCCAAGGGGGACAACAGTGGGACACTGTGTTCAAAGAATGCAAGTGGCCCTGAGTGGCCACTGGTGCCAGGGGGCACTCTTTGGGGGGCGGGGCTGGCCCCGTGGGAGTGGAATGCAGGGTCTTCTCCTTCTGAAGGGGGAGGCTGTGCCCTGCAGCTCCCTGGCTCTTCGGAGGTCATTCGGTCCATCCTTCTGCCTCTGATCATTCTGATCAGAGGCTCTCCCGCGTGCCAGCTGGTGGTGGCGAAGGGAGCTGAGAAGGCACAGCTGTCTGCATTGCTGGCATCTGGCTCCTCCACCATCAGCAAGGCCACGTTCAGTCCAACCTCCTGTCCTGCTGCCACCGTGGACCGTGGCCCCTGGGCATGGATGCTACTCAGGCAGTGTCTCCAGTGGCAACAGACCCATTTTCCCAAGGGCAAACCTCATCAGATCACGGGACAGGGAAACTGGCCACCTCTTGAAAAGGCAAGGGAACCGGCCAGAGAAGGCTGCCGGGTGGGTGAGCCCGGGACGGAGACCAGCCCTAATGTGTTTCTTCAACCTTGGGGCTGAACTCAGTTCCAGGCCGGGAACCTTCCTCCTTTGTCACAGTATTATTAGAAAATCAATGGCAACCTCTGCTTCTCTGTAATGTTTTTGCCGAATGACTCTAGCAGCAGCCCTGTCCACACTGCCCAGGAGGCCCGAGTGGGGCAGGGCCTTGGCAGGGGAAGGGGAAGCGTGGCTGGGGCCAGGGCTTCCTGCAGGCCTGGCTGAGCTGCTGGCTGCACAGAGCCTCCGAGGCCTGGGAGTCTGGACTCGCTGGTTGAGGCTGGTGTGGCTCTGCCTTCCCGGGCCATGCCCTCCGTCCCTCAGGGTGGGTGCCCCTAGCAGCCCCTGGCTGAGGCTTATATGACTCCTGGTTTTCTATTCTGAAAATAAGGACATGCTGAGGTGGCGGCTTATTAGCTGTAAGCAGAGCCGTTTGGGAGTGGCAGTGAGGTTGTCCTGGCTGAGCGGGCAGGCAGGGCCTCTGGGTAAGGACCCAAGGTGGGGACTCCAGGTATCCTCCACCCCTGCACCTTCTGGATTTAACCTGTGGTCCCCTGACCCTCTGACTGGCCCATGGAGCAGCCATCCCGGGAGCACCTGGGTCCCTGTCTAGTGACTGCGTGTGGCGTGAAAGCAGGGGTGCATCTGCCCCAGACTCATTGGCCCGCAGTCAAAAAAACAGGGGCTGCCCTGCATGCACACCACTGTGGATGGTGGAGGGTGGTTCAAGCTGTGCGGTGATGATCTGCTTGGCTGTACTGGCCTGTTCCTAGGGTCCAGCAGTGTGTGTGGGGTGTGTGTGTGTGTGTGTCTGTGTGTGTGTGTACTCCCACGTGTGCTGTGGGATGGTTTTCTCAGAGGTACATCCCAGGTACCAGGCCCATGAGACCTGGGACCTTTGGTTAGTCCCAGTGGGGGTTAAGGCAAGGCTGAGACTGTCCCGGAAGATAATCAGGTCTGGGGCCCACCCTTTGGGCTGGGTCTTGGCCCCTGGGACCTGGGAAGTGAATTTTCTAGGATTCCGGGAGCCAGTTCAGTGAGGCAATGGATTCCATGCCTCAGCCCAGCTGTGGGAAGAGAGTGGGAAGGAAGGAAGGAAAGAGGGCGAGGTGAGCACTGTGCCCGGCCTGCGGAGGGGGCCTGGGGTTGGGAGTGCTGAGACGCAGATGGAGACATGACCTCTGTGCCTGCCCTTTGCAGGGAGGGGCCGCTGGGAGCCGTGGCCATCTTTGGAGTGAGAAGAGGGTCTTAGCTAAGGGGCCAGTAGGAGGGAGGTTGGTAAGAAGTCTCAGACATACACCAACGGAGGTTGGGGAACCCCAGAGAAGGCTCGAAATATCCCAGTGGCCAGTTGGGCTGAGGACTCCACAGCGAGAATAAGTCGTTTCTTTGTTTCTTCTTGGGAGCACCATTTTGCAAGATGATGCAATTTATCCCCTTCCAAAAGTTCCTCCCCACGGGCTTGATGTTGCCTGTTGGTTGATGCAGTTGCCTTGGAGACCCTTACTTCCCTCCACCTCCCCTCCTGTGTCTGGAAGCTCTGGCCCTCTGCCTCTAGGGGCTGGACGGAGCTGACATCTGTTTCTTGTATCAGTCCTTTGTGCTCTTGGTCCCAACCCTGTGTGGAGTAGCGATTCCTGGCCCTGTCCAAGCAGGTCCCCCACCCTGCAGAGAAAACCCAGGGTGTGAACAGAGTTGGACCCAGGAAGGCTGGGGGAGGTGCAGAGGGGAGGCCGGCCTGCTCCAGCTTGGCCCTGTGCTAAGGGGCGCTGCCTTCTCTGGGGCGACTATGAGGGGTTGAGTATTTCTCAAACAATATACTCATCGCCCTGCATGCCTTGCCATTCCTCCCAGGGGTGCAGGCTCGGGAGAGGCAGCCTGCGGAGCCCCCAGCCCCACTCCGGAGGCGGGCGGCCAGCGATGGACAGTATGAGAACCATTCTCCTGAAGCCACATCCCCCCGTAGCCCTGGGGTTCGCTCCCCTGTCCAGTGCGTCTCCCCTGAGCTGGCTCTCACCATCGCCCTCAATCCTGGAGGGCGCCCCAAAGAGGTGAGTCCTTGAGCTGCATCCTGGGGCCACAGAGGGTAGCACTGTGGCAGTGACCCATCAGTGAAATGCAGAGTTTTTGCCTCCTTGCTTCCTCACCCAAGGCCATTTCTCTTGGCATTTAGAATCTGGAGCCCATTTTCTCCCTCCAATAGCTTTTACGCCCTGTTACTTTCTTGATTCCTAAAGAGAGTCCCTTTGTAGTGTGATAAGGATCCTGGGGATGACATAGATGACCTCCATCTTGAAAGTCCAAACCAGGTTGTATAGACTGACAAAATATTCTTGAGCCTTTTTCAGAAATAAGGGTTTTCTTGGAAGAGTTAGTTTTCATGCCCAGAAGAGTGCATTTCTGAGACATTTCAGTAATTGGAGGCAGAGGACCTCAAACTTCAGTGGGGAGTTTGTTAAAACTGTTGATTCCCAAATCCACCTCCAGAGATTCCAGCATAGACATTCTGGGATGGGACCCAGGAATCCGCATCATAAACATGCACCCTGAAAAATTCTGATGGTCCGTGGCCACATTGAGAGATACCAGTGGGTGCTGTTGTATAAAACCCAGAGTAGAGAGGCATTCTGGATGCCAGAGGCCCTTGCCTCTTTTTTTCTCTTGCCCTCTGGCAGGATGCAAGGCCCCTGCCTCCAGCCCCTTCTCTGTAGCCGTGTTCAGAAATATTTCCAGTTCTGACTGAGCTTGCAAATGGCCACTTCCCCGCTCTCTCTAGTTCAAGGAGTTGTTGGGGCTGTGAGTGACCAGGATCTCCCTTTGACCTCTGCACTTATCTGAGCAGTGGCAGAGAGTCAGGCTGGGGAGGGAATTTGTGACCTTGACCTCATGCTCAAGGTCATCTGAAGGGGGACCTCCTCTTCTCAGGGCTTCCCCCTTTTCTTCCCCTTTGTCTCCCTGCAGCCCCACCTGCACAGCTACAAGGAGGCCTTCGAGGAGATGGAGGGGACCTCTCCAACCAGCCCGCCGTCCGGTGGGGGTAAGAACTCCCTGCTAAGCCTATCCTCCCCGTGTCCCCTCCTGACCTCATCTTAATCTTGACCTATGCAAGTGCCCCAAGTATGGGGGTGGGGTGGGGGAAGTGTGCCAGCAAAGGTGCGTTCAGCTGAAATCTCCTGCTTCTCACTTCCGTGAGCGGGGTGGGGCTAGAGTGGGCCTCCCCCACCCCCACTTCCTTATTTCCATTGCGCCATCTTCTCTACTGTCCCTTCTGGGATGAGGCAGCCCCGGTCTTGGGATCTGGATTGATGGCCCGTGGGACCCTGGGCTTCTCACAGTATGGAGTTTTCTTAGTTGTTTGAGACTTTTTTGCATCCTATGCTCAAAAGATATTCCATCCGAATGTGACTCTTGGTGACTTCACCTTGACCTCTTTTTCTGACCCCCATTTCTTTCTGCATCCAGACCCTCTTCTGCCTCGAACAATCTATGTAGATCCAACCAAGGAAAGAAAGGTCTGGAACTCAGGCTGGCAGAACCCCCATCTCATCTGACCTTGGCCTCCAATCAGAGGCCTTTAGTCTGTAGCCTGCCTATATGGCTGGGGAGGCAAATTCCCAAAGGGCCCCCAAAGAGAAGAGTAAAAGAGGCCAGGAGCACGGCAGCCATCCCTCTTATAGGGGAAATACCTTGACCTGGGGGAGGTAGCTGTGGGGAATGCAGTGACAACATCCTGTCAGGTCAAGAGACACCGGGTCCCCATGAGAGGCCCAGATCAGCAGAGCAGAGGAAGCAGATTCCGGGGATCCTCAAGGGTGGGTTGGCTGGTCCAGGCCCAAGCTGTGCATTTGCCCTCACGAGAGAGGAGGTGGCTAAGGAAGGGTGAGCTGCAGCTGGCTCTGCGTCCCTTGGGGCTGGCTGTCCTGCACAGGGGTGGAACGTGGCAATAGTGCACGGCCTGTGTGCCAGCAAAACTGTGCTGGCTGCCATCTTGAGGAGGCCAAAGCTGTGACAGATCACCAGTCCTGGCAGCCCTGGCTCTGGCCGCGGGTGGACACAGAATACGAGCACCCTCGCCATTAGAATTCTCTAGTAGTCAGGCTGGGATTTTGGCCCAGCGGTAGAGCGCTTGCCTAGCATGTATGAGGCACTGGGTTCAATTCTTGGCACCACATAAAAATAATACCTTTATTTTTATGTATTGTATAAAACAAAGAGATTGTATCCATCTACAACTAAAAAATATTTTTAAAAAATTCTCTAGTAACTTCAAAAATCATGACCTGTTGAAATTAATTTTAATAACATTTTTCTAAGTCCAAACTATTATCATTTCAACAGGTAAATCAGTCTAAAAATACTGAGATAATTTTACAATCTTTTTTAAACATGTAAAAAGATACTGGTGATATTAATTTTAATAATAAGCTTTATTTAACTTCAATCTACATGATTGAGATGTACTTTGTTAATTTAAAAAATGAGATATTTTGTGTTTCTTTTGCACCCCGAATACTGGTGTGTGTTTTGAACTGACAGCACCACTTAGTTCAGATCAGTCAATTGCAAGTGGCCTTGGTGGCCTTGGGGGCCCTTGGCTGCCACACTGGAGCCACCTACTCAAGACACCCTGTAACCCGGTGGGCTCAATGGCTTCTCTTACCCAGTCCTGACCTTTGACCTTCCCCTCTGCCTCCTTTTGCTGTCAGGTCCAACAGCCAAGGGCTGGGTGTCCCCTTGCTTGGGACGGAAGCCATCAGGTCTGCACTAGAATTGAGTTTTACCTTTTTCTCTCCCTCCCCCTGGCCAGCCCTGGGTGCCCTGGGGACAAGGATAAGTCAGAGCTTTCATAATGCACAGAGCTGGAGAGAGAGGATGGAAGGCGGGGAAATGCCAGGAATTTTTCTCTCAGGAAGCAGAGGGAGCCTGGCTTCAGTGCCACCCACTCAGCTGCCTCAGCAGAAGGGCCGCGCTGCCTGGGATGGGGGCGCTGGGGCGCGCGAGTCTCTGGCCCCCTCTGATTTCTCTCTCTGGGGCCCATATGCAGACTTGCGGGCTGGAGCTGCTTCCCTGTCCCTGAGCCGGGGTCTCGGAGGTCAGGCTCGCTCTTGGTGATTATGTCATTTAATCTGTGGACTCAGTTGAGGGACATTACTGAAGGCTTGAGAAGCGTCTGTGAGCAGGATGTCATGGAGGGCAGGAGGGCTGTGGGGATGGAGAGGTCTGGACCGACCTGGCACCTTGGAGGTGTGTTTGCCCACGTTTCTCCCTGTGCTGTATTTGTCCCTTGGACATCGAAGGACAGTGAGGCTGGGGTGTTAGTGGGCCACCCATCTCCCTCAGCATGTGTGCACACCTGTGCCGGCCTGACCAAGCTGAGCATGTTGGTGACACTGAGAGGCTGTACTTGTCTGTTGCTGTTCCTGTCTTTGAAGCCTGTCTGTCTTGGGAAAAGCAAGCGGGCCCAGGGAGGGTGGTGGAGCTGTGTTTGGGTCCTGGGCATCCGAGGGCCACAGCTAGTCTGTTGAGGCCACCGGTGAGAGGGAGTGTCCTCAGGGGCTATGGCCTCTGTAGGTCTCCTTGCTAGGAGCCACAGAGCTCATTTCTTCTCTTCTTGGAGGTGTGTGAGGAGACATCTCGTGACTGGGCATGACACTGCCCAGCAGCTCAGCTGAGTCCTTGGCTGATGGGAAAGAGCCTGACAGCCCTTTCTGACCTTGTGTTATGTGACACTTGTAACCCAGATGGGCGGCTGGGCGGAGCCTGCCTGTGCACAGGAAGCTGGGGCTCTTGGCCAGGGATTATTCTCAGGCTTCTCCTTCTCCCAGGACACTGAGGCTGGGGGTACGGAGCCCCACACAGAGACAGTCCCTCGCTGGGTGTAAGGGACACACCTGGTGGAGGGCAGGCCTGAGGCCCAGCCCGTGATCCCCTTTCAGCCCGTGGTCCCCTTCTGCTGAATCTTATTTTCACTTGTCTTCCTCTAAGTCCATCACGTGCGTGGGTTTGAAAGGCTGTGTGTGTGTATGCGTGTGTGTGTGTCTGTGTGTGAGTGTGTAAGTGTGTGTGTGCATTGGGGAGGGATGTTGGGAAAAGAGAATGATGAAAGGGAGAGAGAATATTCTAGAGAGAGGCAGAGAGAGCTATGTATATACCACAGGGCAGAGCAATGGAAAGGGCCGCAGTGAGAAGCCAAGGGCCGAGGGGTAGAAATGATTCTCTCAAGGTTGGGGACAGGGCCAGGACAAAGGACGTCATTTCCTGACTCTTTCCCTTTGTCCTTTAAACTGCTGGAATGTGAAGAAACACAGGGGACTGGAAGGGCCGTGGAGCCCCAGTGTGGGGTTTGGGCTGGCTCCGGTGGCCCAGCCCTGGCCACCGGGCCACTCGCTCTGTCTGTGGCGTGTCCCGCGGGGCTGCCCCATCCACTCACTCCAGGTGTCCTCCTTTTTCCCTTTGGCACAGTGCGCTCCCCTCCAGGTCTGGCCAAGACACCCCTATCTGCTCTGGGCCTGAAACCCCACAACCCAGCGGACATCTTGTTGCACCCCACAGGCGGTGAGTGACTGGCTGGGTGGACGTGGTGCGGGAGGCCGCGGGGCAGGACCCTGAGGCCTGGGCTGGAGATCTCAATGGAGGCTCCTGGACGCTCTGGACAGGAGAGGGAGCGGGCTCTGTGCCACTCTGAGGTCAGGCCTCAGGGCCCTCTGTGCAGGGGTCAAGGTGACACATCCCTTGGCCATCTCTCTGCCCATGTGGCCCCTGTGGACTTTGGGATTTGGAGGCCTGGCCTCGGTTTCCTTGGACTCGGCCTGCTGTCTGCTGGGAGCCTGGCTCCCCGGTCCCTAGTGTGCTCTGAGCATTCTCGAGATGTCAGAGGCCACCCTGCACTCAGGGTGTTCTCCTGGTCTGCCTCTGTGGCTCACAAACCTCCGCCTGAGAACTCATGACTCAGTGGCAGCCATTGCTGTCTGTCCCCTCCCCAGTCCTCTCCCCCTTGGCCCTGGGTCTCTCTGGCCTGTCCAAGGCCTTGCTGGTCTCCTTGTCCAAACTCCTCATACTGGTAGCCTTTGACCCTGCTGTTAAGGACCGGAGCCAGGCTACCTGGCTGCTCCCTCCTCCCTGGGCTCCAGCACCGTCCTGTCTCTGTAGGAGAGAGTGGGCCTCCTCAGGCTGTGCCTCCCACCTCCTGTCCCACCTCCCACTTCCTCTCCTTCCTGTGGGGTGGGGGATGGAGACAGTGGGGGCCCTGGGCTCTGAGTGGCAAGATGGAGCCAGTTCAGTCCAGAAAACTACTTCTAGACGCTGGTTTCAGGGCGGAGCTGGGTCTTGGGGTCAACTTTAACCTTCTCTCCTTAGCCACCAGGCGACTCGTCCAGCCAGGTAGGAGGGCAACGGCATGTATTTGTGACCCACACAGACACTGGCTCCCACGCAGGAGGTCACTCCTGACCAGCATGGCTAGGGACACTGAGCCACAGGAGGGGAAGGGGGCTGGGGCTGCCTTTCACCTGCCAGCACATGGCTTCTCGAGACTCGGCCCACATGAGCCCTGGCCGCAGGCGCTGGGAGAGGGACAGGCTCCTGTGTCAGTGTCTAAACTGCACCCTGGCCTCCTGGGGTCCTGCACAGGGTGGGCCTCAGCCCTCCCCTGAGCTCTTTGTGGAGAGTCCAGCTCTTTCTTGGCCTCGGCCTCGGCCTCCTTCACTCAGCCAATTCCTTCTCTAGGAACAATCCCTGTTAACCAGTCTCTCTCCTTCTCTCTCCCCCCCCCCCATGGTTCTTCCTCCCATCTCCGTCACCTGCCCCTCTTTCCTGCCTCTTCTTCTTGCCTGCCTTCTCCTCTTCCCTCAGAGGAAGATGAGGGGAGAGAGCTGGCTAAGCTTCCAGAAGGTAAGTGCTGCTGGTGTGTGGCTGCTCCCGTGCTCTGGGTCTGGGAATGGCTTGTCACGCATGGTGGCTCAGGGACAGCTCTCTTTTCTTACCTGGTCTCAAGTGACCAGGCACATGGCCTTCCTGTCCCCGCTCCCTGACAATGAAATATCACCCTGGGCACCACCTGAATCCTGTCTGGGGAGCTGGGAGCCACTGGGCGCTGGTTCAGGCACAGCCAGTGTCCAGGCGCCAGCTGGTGCCAGTTTGTGGACAAAAACATCTCTCTTGTCACTTCCTCTGCCAGTGGCTTTGTGCCCGCCTGCCTGGTGTACAGCCACGCAGAGGGGTCTGGAGGGGTCTGTCCGAGCCGGGCTTCTGGCCCTGTGGCCATGGTGGGCGGACAGTTCCTGGCTGTTGGGCTTCCTGTGCACTGAAGGGCGGTTGGCAGCATCTCTGGCTCCTACCTACTGGGTGCCAGTAGCAGCACCCAGTCATGACAGTTGAAGATATCTCCAACATGGCCAGTGTCCCCTGGGGGAGTTGTCCCTGATTCAGAGCCACTGTCATAGATTCACAACTTGCCTCCAGGAAGGCCCTATCCACACAGACAGCAGGAAGTCTGTCTTTCTGACATCTCAGATGCCTTTGGGAATGTCAGGAAAGCTGTGGACTCACCTGCCACAGTAGGGCAGTGGGACACCCATGCACAATGTTCTGAAGAGTTGGGTGTGGTGGCTAATCCCAGCAGCTCAGGAGGCTGAGGCAGGAGGGTCGCAAGTTCAAAGCCAGCCTCAGCAACTTAGTGGGACCCTGTCTCAAAATAAAATATAAAAAAAGCCTGAGGATGTGGCTCAGGGTTCAACCCTGGTGTATAAAGAAAAGAGTTTCAAGGAGTTAGCAGGCCATGGGGCCCCGGCCTCCCCCTGGTTAGGATGAGCCTGTCCTTGCATTGTGACCAGCAGGCAGAGAGGGAACACAGTCTGGTGGAAGGCCTTTGATCCACTAGGGACAGAACTCAGATGAGGACTTGGTGCAGTGGGTGAGATGAGGGGGGTGTTTCTCTAGGGACTCTGTGTGGTTCTCCGGGGCCACTGTCCTTTGTACACATCACATCGGTTTCCAACCCCAAAGCCAGCCAGACCTGTCTGAATCTGCCCTCACCAGGTCAGGAGGTTGGAGAAAGCTTTGCTCCTATCTAACCAGCTTGAGTTTGGGTGGCATCCTGGGATGCTTGGGCGTGGCGTAGGTCCTGGGGCTGCAGTGTGCTCCTGTCTGTGGGACCGGCCACTCTGTGCCCCTCCCCAGCCTCATACCTGGGAAGGGGCTGTCTCTCGGGCTGGAGGCCAACTTGCTGGTTCTCAGAAATGCCCGTGCAGCTGGGGCTGGGGCGGCTGGCCACGAGCCGGGCCGTGGCTCTGCTCTCTGATGGCGCAGCTGGCTCTCGGTCCCCCGGCGTTGGCAGGCTCGGGCGCACAGGTGGGCTGTCAGGTGAGAAGTCCCCAGCGGCATCATCCTCTGGGCTGACAGGCCTGGCAGCTGTGGCTCCCGCCTTGAGCCCCGCCAAGTGTGCCTGTGAATGACCCTCAGCTTAGGAGCTGCAAGTCCCCCACCCCTGCGTCTGTCCAGAGCCACAGAATTGGGAGGGGACGGTTCCTAGGGATCAAGACAGCTGTGCCCACACCTGCCATCATCCAGGACGTGGAGCTGAGGTCTGTTGGGGGGGGGGCAGGGGGATCTGCCCAAGGTCACATTTGGGAACTTGGGAGGTGACAGAACCAAACTGGAGTTGGGCCTCCTGTCAAGTGGCCATTTCAAGCCCTCCCCTGCCTCCAGGCCCAGGCTCCAGGATTGCAGCCTGGGAGCCGGAATGGCTGCCCGGGCAGTGGGCCAGGGGGGCAGGGCAAGGCTGTGGCGACCTGTTGCGCGTTTCCTGACCCAGGCAGCACCTCCTTGCTGACCCTTGGAAGCTCTGCTTGACTTCCCTGCTGACACTGTAAAGGGAAATTCAGAAAAAGAAGTCTGGGGGGGGGAATGATGAGTGGGAGAATTATTCAGCTGGAGGAAATGAAGAATTCGGGGTACATTTGTTCTGTTCATCACTGTGCTAAATACATTCATGCATTCTCTGATTTGTTGATTCAAAAAATATTTTGTGTTCCTATTGTGTACCAGAACTGTGCCAGGCTCTGGGGACATAACGATAAGCAGTATGAGACATGGTTTCTAATCTTACGGAGCCTAGGCATGAACAGGAGCCAGAATTATGAATTAAGTGCTTTGGAGGAAAGGGATACAGTTTTATGAGACCTCATGGCAAAGAACATGACCCAGGTTGAAAAAGTAAGATGTAGAGGTGAGTTGCACAGACCTGGTAAAACTCAGATGTGAGGAGAGCAGAGGGAAATGGCATGTACAAAGGCCCTGGGGTGGGAGGGAATAGCATGTCGATAGCAGGTGCAAAGTCCTGAGGGAGGAAGTGACAGTGTGGTTTTTCTAGGAACAGAGAAGTCAGGAGGCTGGAGCACAGGGCCAGAGGGTGTTTGGTATGGAGTGAGGTTGAACAGGCAGGAGCCAGGCCACAGAAGTCATTGTCATCACAGCAGTGCTGAAAGGAAGGTAGAGCAACCCATTTTATCAACCAGGGAGGTTAGATGACCCGCCCAGGCCCACAGTTGTCAGGGGCACAGCTTAGCGCTGACGCAGGATCAGGGAGTGGAGGCTGCTCCTTTCCAATTGACTGCGCTGGGTGTAAGGGACACTTCGACATTTGAATGGTGACTTCACTGGGCGTGGGGCCCCAGGGCCCTTCTCCTTGAGAGAAGGAGGGGAGGAAGCACTGAGGGAGGAGCACAGGTGGACATTAGGATTGGCCTCTCCGGCAGGGGACGTTCAGGGTAGGCTCTCAGATCGAGTGATCTTGGTTCCAAGGAAGACGGGGACTAGGAGTGACCTCTGGGATGCTTGTTATGGGTGTCCTGGGGCAGAGCCTCTGGTGCAGATTTATTGAGCACATACTACGTGCCAGGCCCTGTGCCTTTACAACTGAGGATATGAAGATGGAGTGCGGCACCCTGGGGAGGGCGGAGACCCCAGCAGGTAGGCAGAAGGGCTGAGCCGGACAGGTGGATATCATGGGGGGTGTGGAGGATCTGCAGCGTGGTCAGAAGGGTCTAAACTTTTAACTCTTGTGCTGTTGGATATGGGACTCAGTGGGGTCTAATCCTCCTTCTCCAAAACCTTCATGTCTTTTCCCCCACTGTGTGCTGAGGTGAGACCCCAGGCACGGGCATACACTGGGCAGGAGCCCTGCCCTGCCACTGAGCCACACCCCAGCCCCCGGGGGCCCTTCTGCTCAGCTGGAGTTTGGGGGAAGTAGAAACTGCCCTTGGGGGTGTCAGGAGGAGCCAGGTCCTCCTGGTCCCTCCAGCTGCTCTCAGCCGCCAGCAGCCACTTGGAGTGGGTTTGGGCTCCTGGAATGTTCTACAGCAGCACCCTGCCGGGCCCCACCTCTCCCGCCCTTCCCAACTCCTTTGCCTGGGGTGGGCTGGAGTGGAGGCCTGGGCTCAGGGAAGGGCGGGCGGGGCCCAAATTGGAATAGCAAGAAGGCATCCTGTGAGTCCAGGAGAGCGCGCTGGGCGGGGTGTCGTCCCCACTTTACAGATGAGAGACCCGCGTGGAGAAGGGCTCCGTGGGTGACAGAAGGGGTGGGGCAGCCTGCTGTGCTGTGGGAAGGACGGGGAAGCCGAGGCAGAGACAGAAAAGGCGGCCTTGGAGGTGGCCCCGGGTCTGAAGGCTGGGAAACCCACGTCTGGCTCCTAGCGCCGGTTTTGGAGGTGAACTCCCCAGGGCCCCTGCTCTCTGGGTCCCGGAGCACAGAGGTGGCTGGGAGGGCCACACCCATCCCGACCCCTGGTTTGGGACTGAGGGACAGGAAGGAGAGGGGCAGAGGATGGGGGCAGGGCGTGGGTGGGGCAGGTCCCTGAATGGCCTCGCTGTTTCCTGACTGTGGCAGGCACACAGGCTGCGGCCTCTCTCTGGTAAGCGGTTCTGACCCCGAGTTCTGGCACCTAGTCCTAGAAGCTGAGGGATCGTGCCATGTCAGGCCTGGGTCTACCTCAGAAGGAGGCTGCAGTTAGGCAACACAACGCCCTTTTCCCCAGTGGGGGGCTTTCTCGGGCTTGGGGAGGGGGTTTGCATTAGTTGCCCCAATCCCAGTCCTCACACCCCCGTGGCCAGCTTGGGCTTTGACACACAGTCCCGCCAGCCCTCTGTTGTCACCTTCCCCACTCACAGCTCAGGCTGGAAGAAGGCAGTGGACTAGCAGGCCACCGGGGGTCAGCCACCAGGGGCCCAGGCTCATCCTGCTGTTGGACCTTCTCTGAAGCAGGGTGGAGGGTGATTGAGCTGCTTACCCGGAGTGTGGGCCAAGGTCTTGGCAAACCACTATGGCGTCCGAGGAGAGTTGAGCCAGGGTTACAAAGTCTGGGCAAACCAGGGAGAGCGCCCCGGGCACAGGAGGGGGCCATCCCCACCCAGCCTTGCCTTGAAGGAACAGGATGCAGCCACCGGCCCCTGCCTCCCACCCTCTCATCTCCGGCCAGACCCCCTGTGCCTCACCCAGAGCCATTGGAGCCACAGGGCAGGGGCCTGGTGGGCAGTAGGTGAAGCCAGCCCTAGGGAGGCCGAGGAGCGGGACAGTGGCTGAGGATGGAGAGAGGGTCAGAGAAGAGGACAGACCCGCAGGGCTCACCGGTGCAGGCTTCACCTTGAACTCCAGGGAGCGAGAAGACCAAGTGCGACATCTCGGGCCCCTGGTCTCCTCTGTGGGAACGGACTGCAGGGTGAGCTTGTGGGTCGGAGTTTGTGGGACAGGCACGTGCCGAGGCCTGCTGTGTGCCAGGTGCTGTGTGGGGCACGGGGAACACCCCTGAGCCCCGTCCCCCTTGCTGTCCCTGGGTGGGAGAGGACAGGTGCCGCGTGCTGCAGGGACCTGAGCGAGGCATGCTGAGCCCCCGGAAGGGCCCGGGAAGCTGTGGAGCGGCCTGAGGCCGTGAGGGATGAGCAGGGAGGACCCTGGCCTGGGTGTCCTTCACTTTTCTCTGGGTGAGACTCTCTGATGGTCCCTTTGCCATGGGGGTTACTAGCCCAGGACAAGGAGCCAGTTCCTCAAGACCAAAGCCACCCCGAAACCCGTGGGCTCCCGAGTTCAGACCATCGTATGTGCGGTGGGTCAGGTGGCCTCTGGGCCCCTCCCAGGTTCCCAAGCTGGCTCTGCCACCTGCCAGCCGTGTGGCCAGTGCACTGTACTCACATCCTTCAGATCCTGCTTCCCTCACGTGGCTGCTATTTTTGTAATTATGCATAGCTCTCAGACGGCACTCCTTTGGCTGGTGGCTGGCATGCTGGATAGCAGCCAGCTCTAGATGTCCCCAAGAGACAGTGGTCCTGTTGTAGTCCACCCCTAATGACACTCTGAATGTGGAGACTGGGATGCTGGTGTCCACGGCCATGCACTGGCTGTGTGTTCTGGGCAAATTTGCCCCACCTCTCTGGGCTTAGGAGACAGGTTAGATAGATCAAGGGTCAGCAAACTCTGGCAGCCGGCCAGGTCCTGCCTGCCAACTATTTTTGTGAGAAAAATTCTATTGCAACATAGTCATCTCCATGCCTTGAGCTATTGTCTCCAGATGCTTTCAGGCTACACAGAAGGACTGCGTACTTGCGACAGAGGCCCTCTGATCTGCCCCGCCTTAGATGTTTACTAGGGGGACCTTTACAAACCAGCCTGGATCAGAGAGGCCTCTGCAGGGCCTGGGGCTGCAGAGCGGAGAACCCAGCCTCCTTTGTTCTGTTGGCCTGGGGCTCCCAGGAGGTGTGGTGGCTTGGGCTGCTTAGGGAGGCCTTGCTGGCTCTGCCCACCGCTGGACTCCAGCTTGGGGGCCCAGGTGACTGGTCCTGTGGCAGCCTGGGATAGACCACCCTCCCCACCCCTCTGCAGACATACTGCCTCCCCACCCCACAGGCTCAGGACCCCCTCTGCAAAGGGCCCTGGCCTGAAGGGTCACCCTTCTCTGTGTCCATGGTGGCCAGTGTGCCATGTCAGGCCTGGGCCTACCTCAGAAGGAGGCTGCAGTTAGGCAACACAACGCCCCTGCCAACAGCCCTTTCCCCAGTGGGGGGCTTTCTCGGGCTTGGGGAGGGGGTTTGCATTAGTTGCCCCAACCCCAGTCCTCACACCCCCGAGGGACCCAGGGGAGAGGCACTTCTCCCACTCGGTGACCATGACCAACTTGGTCAGCAAGGGCTGCAAGGGCCTCTTCAGGGCCGCATGGACTCTGGCCCCAAAGTGTCTCAGGCTGGTCTCCGCGGATGCCCTAGGTATGACAGAGTTGGGGCCTGTGCTCAGGCCTCGTCCCTTCTGGGTGGGACAGGGACGGTGCCAGGTTTGCAGGCGGTGGCATGTCCTCTGTCCCTGTTCACATCCCTGGAGGACTGAGTGCCCCGCCTCCTCTTGCTGTTTAATATTGAGCTGGTTTCAGAGCTGGCCTCAGAGGTGATGGAGGGAGTCAGACGAGCCCTGACCTGGGAGTCAGGGGCCCTGGGTCCCGGCTGTGCGTCCATCATGTCACTGTCCCAGCCTCAGTCTCCTCATCTGTAAAATGGCCTTTCTGGCTCTTCCCCTTCCCTCCTCTTCTGACTGGGAGTTTTGTATTCTAACCTTGGATCCTGTGTACAAATGTCCTCTCTGAACTGCCCAGTGCTGTGGGAGTGCCACAGATGCGCAGACAGTGTCCAGCTCCGCCTGGGGACTGTTTGTCTGGTGTCCATCTCTTGAGAAATGCTAAGTGCGTCAGGCAGAGACGGTGGGCGTGTCTTGGTATCCAGGCCTCAGCAGACCCAGGTCTGTTGCTAGGTGAGCAAGCCTGTATCTGACTCCAGGCGTGGGGAGGACCCCAGTGCTGTCCCGGGACACAGGCCAGGTCAGATGCAGCTCCGGGTCCACTCTGGTGTCTGGGAGCCTGGAAGGGCCTGGGTAGCAGGGTCAGCAAAGGGGATGCCATTCATGGACAGATGGCCTGGTTCTTGGGTGGACGAGTCTCTGATGGCCTTGGTGCAGGGGTGGAGTTTGGGGCTCATTCCTGGCAAGGTTCTTGAGTCAGGCTCTGGTTAAAGGTTGTCTTGGGACAGGGTGGGTGTGGGCAGGCAGGAGCTCCCGGTCAAGTGTCCTGATGTCTTTTGGGGGCTGTTCCTGTGCTGTCTTTCCCCAGTCTGCTTTGGGTGGCTGTGTCCCTGGCAGGTTGGGAGGGTCCCACACTGCACCTCTGGGGATCTATGCTCAGTCTCTGTCCTGCTCCTTCCAGAAGCTCGGAGCTACGTGGAGTCTGTGGCACGGACGGCAGTGGCTGGGCCCCGACCTCAGGATGCTGAACCCAAGAGCTTCAGTGCCCCAGCTGCCCAGGCCTATGGCCACGAGACGCCCCTGAGGAATGGGACCCTGGGCAGCTCCTTTGTCTCCCCCAGCCCTCTGTCCACCAGCAGCCCCATCCTCAGCGCCGACAGGTAAGTCCGGGTGGGAAGACTCGGGGATGAGAATCGCGGCTGGGGATGGGACAGCTAGGCCTCTTGGATCTTCCTAGGGTGTGGGCACAGAGAAGTCACATCCGGTCCACAGCACTTTGCAGACCCCTTCAGGGCACCTTGAGAGCGCTTCCCCTGCGTGCCGGACCTTAGGGGGAGCCCGGAAGTGAGTAAGCGGTCATTCCCCCAGCAGTGCTGGCAGGAGGAAGTGTGCCAGGTGAAGGAGGCCTTCCCCAGGTCTGACGCCTCAGGACAATGAGGATCGGGCAGTGGGTGTTTGCGGGAGGCCAGGCACTTTGCTGAAAGCTTTGTGCAGATGTGGAACCTTCACAGTGGTCCCAGGAGGCAAGCCCCAGGGTCCCCACTTTCTAGAAGAGACAACTGAAGCACCGAAGTGGTTTCCTAAGCTGAGCAGTAGCAGGGATAGACTTGAGGCCCAAGTGTGTGGTTCCGGGGCCCATGTCGCCCACGTCGCAATCTCCTCCCCAGACCACTGTGGTGCACGCCCTTCGCTGGCTGGGAGCCAGGCCTTCGAGAGCTGACGGAGAAGTAAAGTGCTTGGAGCTCAGAGCGAGGGGCCATTATCTTGGTCTAGGAAAGCAGAAGGGTCCCTGAGGGCTGCAACTCTTTGTGGGCAATCCAGAGGGGTGAGCAGGATGTGGAGGGGCGAAGGAGGGAGAGCATTTTGAAGGACAGCACAGGAAGATGCAGGGTTAGAGTGGGGCGTGCAGGTGGAGGAGAGGGGAGGCGTCCTGATGCGCGGCCAGCTGACACCCATCGTCCGAGTGCATCCCACACAGAGGAAGGCTGGGCAGTCCCTGCTCACAGGCTCAGTAGAGGGACGGCTGATGTGGGGTGCGCTGAGAAGCTGGTGCGGGGGAGGGAAGACTTCAGGCCCCGGGGAGGGGAAAACAGCCCAGGAAAGGCAGCTTGAGACCAGCTTGGGCAAGGCCTGGAGTGCAGATGCGGGGGGGGGGGGGGGGGGGTGGGAGGACAGCGCTGGCCTCATAGAGGACCTAATGCCTCTCTCTCCCTTTCTGAGCCCACTCCCCTCCCTGCGCTGCCTTCCCAGGGGCCCTCAAACATCCCAGCCCCCCCCTCACATTTCTGCCGCCGGCCCTACCTACCCTGGCTCAGGGGTGGGGGCTTGGTGAGCGGAGGCAGCTTGCCTCTGGAGCCAAACGTGCACCCCAACCCAGCCTGCCTGCCCAGCCTCCTGACAGGCTCACAGCGGCTCAGGAGGCCTGGCCCCTGCAGAGGCCGTGCTCCCTGTTCAAGGGACAGGGATTTCGCCCTGCCCTGTGGCCCACAGAGGGAGCCCCGGGCAGGGAACTTCTCCCACATTCTTCCTGATGCCCCGTTGGCCCCTCTCAGGACTCTGGAAGCCGGTGTCTGTGCCCTGAGATCATCTTCTAGAACTCCATGTCAGCATCCCTCGCCCCGCCCTGCTCTGCCTGCTGCATCCTCAGAAGCCAGTTTTTTCCCTCCTGGGAAATGACCTTCTGCTCTGGCCCCTTCTGGGGTGCAAGGCAGGCTGTGTCCTGGCCTGTCCCCTGCCTGTCTCCCTGCTCGTGGTTCTAGTCTGCCCCCAGAGCACAGTCCCACCCAAACCTCCTCGCACCCGGAGCCCCAGCCAATCCCACCCAGCCGGGGAGGCTCAGCAGCGGAGAGCTTGGGGACTTGGGCCCCTGGCTGTGTGAGGACCCCTTCCCTCCCTGGGGACTCCTGGCCCAGCCCACCTGCCATCTCCCTACGGCTGCTGCTTACCCACGTCCCTGTCGACCTCTGTCTCTACTGCCACACTCTAGATGGGTAGCGGTGTGGGCCTGAAGGAGCAGGTCATCCGTCAGCCCCTCATGGCCCCCTAGGAAAACACGAATAAGGAGAATCCCTGCTCCCCAGCTCACAGGTCACGGCGGTGCGGGCCTGCTCCCCCGTGTCACTCCCTAGGGGCCTGCACTGCCCTTCACAGTGGAGCCCTGAACTGTGGCAATTATACTCCAGGCACGGTCCCATACGAACTGAATTTTGTCAGGATCTTAGAATTGGGAGTGACCTTGAGCTCATGGACTCTAACCTCCCTATGGAGGACCTTCCCTATGCAGCCTTTAGACCCATAAGTCCCTCAGCCTCTGCTTAAGTTCTCCTAGTGATGGGAGGATCATTACCACTCAGGGCAGTTTGTTCCATTAGTGGCCAGATCCGATGCCCGGAGAGCAGACCCTATAATGAGCTGAAATCCCTGCTCTGGAACTTCCCCCTTGATTCCCTTCCGTCCTCCCTCCCTCCCTCCCTTCCTTCCTTCCTTCCCTCCTTTTTGTTTTGAACCAACCAGGAGTAGAAGCCCAGTCCTGCCTGCTCAGGGCTTATGATGACAGCAAACCCAGAGACACAGTCAGGAGGCCCTCATAGGAATGGGAGCCAGGTGGTTTGCCTCCCTCTCCAGAGTGAGTTTCTGTGATGCCGGAGGCTTCAACAGGACGCCACCTTCAACTTTCATGAGGGAGATTTCTTGGCTTATGGCTCAGTAGTCAGCAGAGTGCTGTGGGAAAATGGAGGCTTTGGAATCAGACCCAGCTGAGTTGAAACCCCAGGCTTTTATGAACTGTGTGGTCCCGAGTTTACTGTTGAACCTCTCTGACCTTCAGTTTCTTCTTCTGATGGATCCATGAGGTGATATAAAAGCCCTGACTCTGGCCGACTGCAAGTGGAGCTATTATGGTTGCTATTAGTGGTTGGAAGGAAGCTGGGTACTTCCCTCAAGGACCACCCCCCTTCATTAACTGCCATTTGCTGACCTCTCAATCTGTCCTCTCTCTAGCACTTCAGTGGGGAGTTTCCCATCAGGGGAGAGCAGCGACCAGGGCCCGCGGACACCCACCCAGCCCTTGTTGGATTCCAGCTTCCGCTCCGGCATCCTGGGGCAGCCCAGCCCTGTGGCCCAGAGAAGTTACCAGAGCTCTTCTCCTCTCCCGACCGTGGGCAGCAACTACAGCAGCCCCGACTCCTCACTTCAGCAATTCAGCCCCGCAGAAAGCCAGCCCCGCTCTCAGTTCAGTGTGGCCAGTGTCCACACGGTGCCCGGGAGCCCTCAGGCCCGCCACAGGACAGTGGGCACCAACACGCCCCCTAGTCCTGGCTTCGGCCGGCGGGCCGTCAACCCCAGCATGGCTGCTCCTGGCAGTCCCAGTTTGAGCCACCGCCAGGTCATGGGTCCACCTGGCCCTGGTTTCCATGGCAACACCGTTTCCAGCCACCAAAGCAGTGCGGCCACCACCCCAGGGAGCCCCAGCCTGGGCCGGCACCCCGGGGCCCACCAAGGCAACCTGACCCCCAGTCTCCATGGCAACGCAGTGGCCAGCCCTGGCAGCCCCAGCCTGGGCCGTCACCTGGGAGGGTCTGGATCCATGGTTCCTGGCAGCCCCAGCTTGGACCGGCACGTGGCCTACGGTGGCTACTCCACCCCTGAGGACCGGAGGCCCGCGCTGTCCCGACAGAGCAGCGCTTCCGGCTACCAGCCCCCGTCCACACCCTCCTTCCCTCTCTCCCCTGCCTACTACCCGGGCCTGAGCAGCCCCACCACCTCCCCCTCCCCGGATTCTGCGGCCTTCCGGCAGGGGAGCCCCACACCGGCCCTGCCAGAGAAGCGGAGGATGTCCGTGGGCGACCGGGCAGGCAGCCTCCCCAACTACGCCACCATCAACGGGAAGGTGTCCTCCTCGCCGGTGGCCAGTGGCATGTCCAGTCCCAGTGGGGGCAGCACTGTCTCCTTCTCCCACACGCTGCCCGACTTCTCCAAGTACTCCATGCCAGGTGGGCCTCTCCTCCCGTGTCCACCTCTCCTGGGGATGAGCTGAGTCCAGGAGTTAGGATATCTGTCCTCCTCTCGGTTCTGACAATCCCTTTGCAGACAACCCTGGGGATGGGTGGCTGACTGCTGGGCCTCAGTTCAGGGTGAGGATGAGGATGAGGTTGACGGACATGATAGCATTACTCTTAGGTACCCGCACCTTCAAGCCACTTGTGAGCATGTACTCTGTGCTAGCCTCTGGGCTAAGTACTATCTCACTTAATCCTTATGACCTCCCCCCACCCCCCAGGAAGGTACAATTACTCCGTTTTACCCAGGAGCAAACTCAGGATTCCAGAGGCTCTGTTGTTTGCCCAGCATCCTACAAAGTTAATAAGTGGCAGAGCTAGGTAGGCTTCCAGTCCAGGCCTGTATTACCCCCCAAACTAATGCTCTTTAGGCATTATTGGAGTTGTCTTTATCATGTGGCCGTATCTTGAGGGCTATTGTGATCTAGCATGACTTTGAAAGGGTGCCTTCCAAACCTGTGCCTCTCTTCCTTTGGTCAGCCCCAGGTGCGCACATGGCTCCTAACAGATCTGGCAGCCAGATAGGATGTGGACTGGGGCTGATTGACACGAGGGGTTTTTACCAGGGCTTGGTTTCTGCAGACCTGTTCTGTGGTCCAGGCAGCTTTGCCTGTTGAATTCCTCACTCATCCCTAGGACTTGGCTCATTATCTAAACCCAAAGGTCAAGGCCTCAGGAGACCTGCAGTTTCCCAAGCAGACTGGAACCTGTCTGCATGCAGGGTCGCCCCAGGCGATCAAAGCAGATTTGGAATATTTCAGGCAGCTTAGGATGGGGCCCAGCTGCCCTGATCCCCCGTGTCACTCCTAGGTCCTGTACTGGGCCTGCCAAGCTGCGACACCTAGAGTGACCCTGCACCCCCCTGCTTCCTGCCGCCCACTGGGGACATCTGGTTCCCAGTCCCTCTCCTTGAAGGAGGCAAAACTTGGAGCAGTTGGACACTTCCTGTTTCCCACCATCTTCCCTGCTTAAAATAGTTGTGGAGTCAACACAGGAAGGCTTAGGGGGCTGCAGCCACCTCTGACAGCTCGTTAACCTAGCAGGGCCTGGGTCTCCAGAGCAGGGACAGGCGGGCAACAGTTGCGGGGCCCAGCCCCTCCCCAGGCGTCCTGCATACAGCTGCCAGGAGAGTAGCTGTCCCCCCCCAGCCCTCCAGAGACAGGCCCCCAGGCCCAGGGAGCCTGAACCACAGTGGAAATTGACTCAGCCCTGGAGTCTCGGCTGGGGGCCTCCTTAGCTGACAGTGTCCTTAGCGCAGGGCCTCGGCTCCAGGCTCTGAAGACAGGGGAGGGAGGTGTGGGGTGGAAGGTCCCTCTCTCCTCTGCTTTCCTTTTGTTTCTTTGGTGCCCAAAGATGAAGGAGCAGAACAGGGAGAAGGGTTCTGTGCTAGGGTTCTGCGGCACAGCGTGGCTTCTCTGGTTTACAAAACCTGATGGGATCTGAGGAACTAAAGAAATGATAAGAGGCAGAGGTGCTCATCCCCCGCCTGGGACAGTGCTCGCCGGGTGCATGTTTGAAATGTGGTGCTGTATTCCAGAAATTCACACAATAGGACCTGCTGATAAGGAACAAGGATGAGGAAAGAGGCCGGAAAGCGAGGGCCCCACACCCCAACCCCTGACCCAGAAGCTGTGCTGGGGCCGGTGCTCACCTGGCCCCAGGGTCTCTCTGTGGGTCACCATCTGTAACCCACCAAGCCACTCTCCCTCCAAGCCTCTCTCCTGATTGTAAAACTGCACAGCAGAACCCAGTTGTCTGAGCTACCCCAGAACATAGCACCCCAGGAGAGATCCCCAGGCCTGCTAAGGAGCTGGGTGGAGGGATCACAGCCGAGAAAGCTGGCCTGGCGACACCCTGCGGAGAGCCTCTAGGCCCTAGGCCAGTCCCTCATACTTGTCCCAGGGTTGGAGTGATTTTTGGCCCTGTGTGATTGCAGAACGCTGGCTTTCCATGTGGGAAAGAGGAGGGGGTCAGGAAGAGAGGACAGAAAGGGGTCTTCCTGCCCTTGTCATCTGCAATGCCGCAGTTGGGAGGCTGAGCCTGTGGGGAAGGGGGAAGGGTGGGTCTTAGCTGTGTGGGGAATCTGCTAGGGGACGGGTGCTGGGAGCAGGGCAGGCTCTGGGTTGGCTCTGTGGGATGCCCAGCAGGCAGTGGGTGGGTGAGAAGTCCCTGCTCTGTCCCTTCCTGCTGTGCTCTGTGATGTTTGAGGACACGACTTTCTGTGTCCCCCTGGGTATAAAGTACCATATTCTTGTTGGCTTAAAATAGCAGAAATGGGGCAGAGGCCAGGAGTCCAGCACCCAGCTTGGTCCCTGGTGGGGTTCCGAGGGACCATGGGCTCCAGGCTTGCCACGTCCCCCTGGGTCTGGAGGTCCTTGGTGTTCCTTGGCTTGTGGCTGTGCCAGCCCGTGTGGCTCCCTCTTCACATGGAGCTGTCTCCACGAGTCTCTGTCTCCTCTTTTGAGGACACATCCTCCTGGACCAGGGCTCTGTCCAGCGTGCCTTCATCTTAATTGGATTCCATGTGCAAAGACCCTCTTTCCAAATAAGGTCCCATTCGTGGGCTTTGAGGGTCAGGACTCATTTCAGCGTCTCTTTTCAGGGAACAGAGTTCAACCCGTAAACACTTCCCATTCTTCTCCTGCAGACAACAGTCCTGAGACCCGGGCTAAAGTGAAATTTGTCCAGGACACTTCCAAGTATTGGTACAAGCCTGAGATCTCCAGAGAGCAAGGTGAGTACTGGGTGGTTCTGTGGTCCATAGAGGACAGAGCTGGCTGCTGATCACCATGTCTGACTTGGGCAAGGAACACAGTGCACTCATTCCTCTTTGCAGTAGGTAGTGGTCACAGAGAGGGAGCTGGGATTGAAGTCAGACAGTAAGAAGCACTTCCCACATCAAAGGGAAGGCTGGCAGAGCATTGGTGTGAATTATTTTTGCAAGAGTCCATCGGAGCTTTGGTTTTCCTGGACAAAGTAGGAGGACAGCCAAGATCATATGAAGCCTCAGCTCGCCATCTGTATGATGTGGGAGATTTTTGCATTTTGTAGAAACAAATGAAGTTGTGAATATGGGAATAGAGACGGGGCCCTCTATGGGTTCTCAAGGAACATCTGTGGGGTGTGGGTGTGGCTCAGCAAGGACTGCCTGACAGCCCCACTGGCCCGCTGCTTTGTAAATAAAGTTTTATTGGAACAAAGCCACGCCCATTAGTTTACAGACTCTCACTTCCAGCTGCAGCCATAGACTTGAGTATTTTCGACAATCTGCGTGGCCCCCAGTGTTGACTCTCTGGCCATCTCAGCCCAGGAGGGCCCTTAGGAGTGTTTACACTCTGACTTTAAAGAATGTCATCTCATCCAAGAGAAAACAAAGTTCCAGGGGCCCCCAGGGCACTTAGGCAGCCAGGGACGCCAATCTCATGTGCCCTCTTCCCTCCTCTGGCGCAGCCATCGCACTCCTTAAGGATCAGGAGCCAGGGGCCTTCGTCATCCGTGACAGCCACTCCTTCCGGGGGGCCTATGGGCTGGCCATGAAGGTGTCTTCGCCCCCTCCGACCATCACGCAGCAGAATAAGAAAGGTGACATCCTCCTCCATAGACTGTGGGATCTTCACGGTCTCTTCAAACCCTGGGGTGCTGGGGGGCCCCAGGGTGCTGAGCAGGACCTAAGTCCCACAGAGCTGGTGCCTGATAAACAGCTCTCCAGAAGAGCGTGCCCTGGGCTTGTGATGGTGGCGTCGGGGAACAGGGAAGCAGGTGTCTGTCCTCTCTGGAGGGGCCGGTGGTGGTCTCTGCAGCCCCAGGCTCCAGCCTCCCCATCTCTGCGACCCTCTCTCCCACCCCAGCCCCGTGCATTGAAGAAGAGGTAGAGCAGCCTTGGGAGTCCGTGGGGGGACTCTGTGAAAAGTGACCCATTTCTTTCTCTCCATCCCAGGAGATCTGGCCCATGAGTTGGTGAGACATTTCCTAATCGAGACCGGCCCCAGAGGAGTCAAGCTCAAGGGCTGCCCCAATGAGCCGAACTTTGGTGAGCTGCCCCCACCACTGTCCCTGCAGGAGGGGTTCAGCATCTTGCCGAAGTGATAAGAGACAGAGGTGCTCATCCCCAAGTTCTCTCCCCCATAATCCTGTGTGGTAGATGGCACCGTCCTTGTTTTGCACAAGGGAACTGTTAGTTAGACTTACCCAAGAAGGCACAGGTAACAAGTGACTGACCTGGGATTCGATCCCACAATTCTCCAATGCTTCTATCCTGTTTTTTTTTTTTTAGGGGGGAGGGGTCATCACTGGAGAGACTTAGAAAAGATGTTAGGAGGAACTGTAAAGGGAAGTTGTTAGGTCACAATATGACTGCTAGAGGGAGTCTTTGGAATCTTCTTCCTTGAGTCTTGCTAAAAAAAAAAAAAAAAGGGCATGAATTTTCAGCTCTGAAAATTCGTGGATAAGAGAGAAGTAATAAAGAAGCCGAAAGCTGCGGGTAGCTCCGTAGCTAAGCACACCTGAGGTCCTGGGTTCCATCTCTAGCCACACACACACACACACACACACACACACACACACACACGGAAAGAAGCCCGGTGGGGTGAGGCTTCCTGGCGTTTGCGCCTGGCCCTGGCTGGCCTCTGACTCCCAGGAGCGCTGCCCCTGAGCTGCTGTCTCTTCCTGCAGGCTCCCTGTCCGCCCTGGTGTACCAGCACTCCATCATCCCTCTGGCTCTGCCCTGCAAGCTCGTCATTCCAAACCGAGGTAGGACGTGAGACTCCCCGCGCTCCAAAGGTGCCCTTGAGCTACCTCCTTCGTGACTGGCCCTGCCAGCTACTCCAGAATGTGGGCCAGGGGTGGAGGGCACTGGCCATTTTGCCAACGTGGGGAAATTCAAAACCTCTCTCTCACTCACTTCTTTTTCCTGATAAAAAAGAAGGAAAAGTTTGTGGGCGTGGTGGCGCACACTCGTAATCCCAGTGGCTGGGGAGGCTGAGGCAGGAGGATCACGAGTTCCAAGCCAGCCTCGGCAACTTAGCGAGACTGTAAACAACCTAGTGAGATCCTGCCTCAGGATATCAAATATAAAGGACTGGGGATGTGGGCAGGTGGCTCAGTGGTTAAGTGCCCTTGGGTTCAATTCCTGGTACCCCCCAAAAGAAGGAAAAGTTTATTTAAGAGTTGAACGCCAGGGGCATATGTAAGTTGTCTTTCCAGATGGTTCTAGAAAATACTCTGGAGCCTTTAAGAAATTCAAACTGAATTCTCAGAATAAGCCTCATCCCCAGGGAAGGCCTAAGACGTGGGAGAGTCAGGAGAAGAATGTCCTAGAGCTTGAGATAAAATCTCTCATATTAGTTGATGATTTTTATCTATTCAATTCAGTTCACTGAATTATTAATAATAATTGGCCAACATTATTAGCTTAAAAATTCCAACACAACTTAAGCAGCATTATTAACCACCCAGTTTAGACACCAATTAAATTACATTTTTATGGAATTCACTGTGGAAGTCCAGCAATTACAAAGCTGTTTGACTTTGAATTGTATAAACCTGTGGTTCTTGAAATGGGCCCCCAGACCAGCAGGCTGTGCATCCCCTGAGAACTTGTTAAATGCCGGCATTCTCAAGGTCCACTTCTTCAGGAACTCTAGGTTGGGCCCAGCCATCTGCATTTTAACAAGGCTGCACACCAAAGTGTAAGCAACACTGGTTACAAATGAGACTCGATGCTTATTTGTTGTTCTGATTTTTGTTTTTAAAAGTTTTAGTGCTGGAGACTCAGTGGCACATGCCTGTAATCTCAGCTACTGGGGAGGCTGAGGCAGGAGGATCACAAGTTTGAGGCCAGCCTCAGCCACTTAGCAAAGCCCTGTCTCAAAATTAAAATAATTTAAAAGGGCTGGGAGGTAATTCAGTGGTAAAGTGCCCCCGGGGTTCAATCCCCAATACCATGAAAAAAAATTATTTAGGTATAGTTGAAATAAAAACAGTAGTATGCACTGTGTTTAATGTGTTGCTTTGATATAGCTACACATTGGGAAATGGTAAAGTCAAGCTACTTAACATGTCTATCGCTCGGTCCTTACTAATCTTGAACTTATGGTTGTGCTCTGTTGGTGGTTGAATGAATTCAAGCATAAACAGAAGCAACACCACTGCTGTTCGAAGCTTGCTTTTTGCCAGGCAGTGGATAAACACTATATATGGGTTGTTTGAAAACCCTGGGTCCTGAGTTCCACTTAGCAAGTGGCGGGCTGAGGGTTCGAGCCCAGCTCTCCCGGACCCAGAGCTCTCAACCCCTGTGCTGGGTTCTTAGAGCAGCGGTGGAACATTCCACCTGTAGGTAACCCAGTGCCTCCCACCGGGGCCAGCCGTGGAGAGCGTGTCCTTGGCACAAAGCGTTTGCAGAAGTTACCTGAGGCCCAGCCCAACCGTGCTTCTTTCCAGCTCTAGGGTTTTAATTACCAGGCGAATTTTTGTCTCAGACCCCACAGATGAATCGAGAGATAGCTCGGGCCCTGCCAACTCGACTTCTGACCTGCTGAAGCAAGGAGCAGGTGAGTGGTCCCTGGAGACTGGACCCCTGCCCACGACCTTCTTTCCACCTTCCTGCCTGGGCCTCCTGCAGGTGCAGGTGGAAGTCTGCCAGGCCCAGAGGTCTCCAGGCAGATTATGTTCCTCTGTGTAGATGTTTTGGCCCGAGGCTGGCCTGAAATTGATCTGCTGCCTTTTCCCTCAAGAGTGGACCTGGGGCATCGTCTCCACCGACTCCAGCCTTCCTGATTCCCACTTGGGTCCATTTCTTGTAGCCTGTAATGTACTCTTCGTCAATTCCGTGGATATGGAGTCACTCACTGGGCCGCAGGCCATCTCCAAAGCCACATCTGAGACGTTGGCTGCCGACCCCACCCCAGCTGCCACTATCGTTCACTTCAAGGTCTCTGCGCAGGGAATCACACTGACTGACAACCAGAGAAAGTAAGCCTCGTCTACTTGCTCCTGGGCAGGGCTGTCCTTCCTGCAGCCCATCCGTGCCTCCACTCACCACCGCTCACCAACCCATCATCCCTTGCACCTCTCAGCCCACCTATTCTCCCATCCATCTATCTTGCTTCATTCTTTATCACAGTAGCTGTTCATCCATCGATCCATTATCCATCCACTTGTTCACACACTCATCAATTGGTCCATTCATCTACTTACTCGCATCCATCCATTCCCTATCTATTCTATGCCTACTTATCCCTTCATTTGTGTGTGTCTCTATCCATCCACCCACCCATTCATCCACCCATCCATTCATCCACCCACCGACTCATCCATCTACCCATCCACTCATTCTCCATTCATCCACCCACCCATCTATCCGTCCACTGATCCACCCATCTACCCACCCATCCATCCATCCATCCTCCACTCATCCATCCATCAATCTATCCACCCATCCTCCATCCCTCCATCCATCTATCTTCCATTCACCCATCCACCCACCCACCCATCCATCCACCCATCCACCCATCTATCAATCCTTCCATCCATCCTCTATCCACCCATTCATCCATCCTCCATCCACCCACCTATCCATCCATCAATCTTTCCATCCATCCATCCATCCTCCATCCATCCACCCATCCATCCATCGATCCATCCATCCCTCCCTCCATCCATTCATCTATCCATCCCACCATCCCTCCATCCTCCCTCCCTCCCTCCCTCCCTCCATCCTTCTACAAGGGTCTGCCTGAACCAGGTAGTCAGCTCGCAATACAACTGTTTAAAAGGTCCCTCTTTCCAGGAGCAGAGTCTTTCCTCCCAGGCTCTCTCCTAACCATGACCCCAGTTCATTTCCTTCCTCCTTTAGGGTCCCCCCATTTCTTATTCCTCAGTGTCAGTTTCTTTTCCAGCCTCTGGCTTTTGGGCTTGTTTCTGTGGCACATGTCTCTGTTCCTGTGCATCACTCGGGTCTCCGACTGAGCACCTCAGGCCATCTTGCTCTGTGAGACAGTGACCCACAACAGGCACAGTGTGAAGTGGCCTGGCGGAAGCAGACCCTCCCGTGCTCATTCTCTGTTCTCTGATGTCTGAACCACAGGCTCTTCTTCCGAAGACACTACCCCCTCAACACTGTCACCTTCTGTGACCTGGATCCACAGGAAAGAAAGTAAGTCTCTTGGAAACACCTTCCCTCTCAGCCAGCTCACGCCGCTGGAGAGAGTGTGTGTACATGAGCACAGATGCGCGAATTCTCAGTCCAACTGGAAGATCCGCCTGTGTCCAGGGGAGTGTGCATAATTGCGTTGGGCATTTTTTGAGTTTTTTTCATAGATCTGGAGACTCTCCTGGGACTCAAATGCCCATTTTTACCCCCTCTGGCCCAACCCTGACCCTGACCCTGTTTCTCCCCTCCACACTGTGGGAGGTAGCCTGGCAGTGTTTGCTCCAACTTGAAAACCCCTGGGTGACCTTGGCCGTTTCTGTCCTGCAGAGGTCGGGGCTCCTCTGCTTGCCCCAGAGAGTCTGGTCTGAGTGGGCGGTGCTCTGGGGACAGGTGCAGTGATTTACCCTGAGCTGACTTTCTCTCCACAGGTGGATGAAGACAGAGGGAGGTGCTCCTGCTAAGTAAGTGTGGCTTCCTAGTCCACCAGCAGGTGGGGCGGGGCAGGTTTAGAATCTGGAGCCTGGGGTCGGGAAAGGCCAGCAAGGATCTTTGTGCCAATGTCACTGAAGTCTGGAGAAATAGTACAGCCCACGTGTGTGGCTTTAGCAAAGGAGAGTGTGTCCTGGTGGGACAGAGTTGGAAAGGCTTTGGAAAAGAACGAATATTTTAAAATGGATCTTAAAAGACAGGTAGAGTTTGCTCAGGCTGAAAGGTAGGACAGAGATGGGTTTAATGGGAGGAGGTAGCTTGACCAGCAATCTGGGCAGGGCTGAGTGTCCCACAGAGAGGCTGCTGAATGGTTGTTGGCTGAAGAAAAGGGACCAGAGGCAGCCAGGCCACCTCCAGTGACCAGGAATCTGGGTGTGATCAACGCTGGGGACTTGGCCTTGTTCAGTCTTCATAATCATCAAGGACTCTGAGTCCCCATGTATTCTTGTGTCCCTGCCAGCCGGCCAGGCAGGCCAGGGCTTGCAGTGGGGGCAGGTGGCAGTGTCAGGGCAGGCATGGGTTGGCCAGGTCTCCGTCATGGCAGAAGCAGGCAGACAAGGCTGGCATGCCTGTGTGATGGGAGTTCAGAGATGACCCCCACCCTGCTCAGATCACCCCCACTGCACTACAGCCCTAGCCAGCCCAGAAAGGGAGGAGCTGGGGGCTGCCCTGTGGACCCCAGTGACTCCAACACCTGGGCACTACTCCAGCTCCTGAAACCAAGCTGGAAGAGTAAAGTTGTGGGAAGTACAGGGCTGTGTGTGTGAGTGTGTGTGAGTGTGTTTGTGACTTGGCTAATTTTAGCCGGGCAGTGCCGTCTGAGGCAGAGGGGTGTCCATGGGCATCTCCAGCTGTCCCGATTTCCCCATCTCGCTCTAATTAGCAACACCCCAGCTGGGAGGGGCCCCGAGCTCACATTCTGTTCTCTGCCCTTGTATTTTTAACTCTGTTTTGCAAAGAGAGAATGTTAGGTCACTCCCGTCTTGGTGCTGGAGGGGACAGGTGTGGGGTCCCCTCCTCCTTGGGTTCTCTGGGCTTCCCAGCCTCTGGACGGGGCGGCTGTGTGTGTGTGTGTGGGGGGACCTGCCCGTTCTCGGTCACCCTGACCTCCTGGGGTGCATGGCGGGTGCGTGATGGGTGCCTGATGGGTGCGTGGTGGGTGCGAAGGCCCCATCCTGGCTGGGCCCCCGGCCTCCTGGTTTGCTTCTGTGCTGTTTATGGGAACAGTCGGGTTGGGTGGGGCTGGGAGAGGCTGCTTGAGGAATGCTCCCACTTTATTTCTGGTCTCGTCCCCACCCCGTACTATCCAGTCCTGTCCTTCACCCCAGACCTGCTCCACCCCTCCAAGGGGAACGTTCGCCTGCCCTGAAACAAAGCGAGACGCTGTCCCCAGCCTTGACCTTGCTGCGCCCTCCTGTCCCTGAGGCCCGGGGAGGCTGGGGACGCAGTGTGGCAGGCGGGGCGTGCCCTGGCCAGGGTCCTCCTGTCTTCCCCTCTCGCCCACCACCCTCTCCCGCCCCTGCAGGCTCTTTGGCTTCGTGGCCCGGAAGCAGGGCAGCACCACAGACAACGCCTGCCACCTCTTTGCCGAGCTCGACCCCAAGCAGCCTGCCTCGGCCATTGTCAACTTTGTCTCCAAGGTCATGCAGAGCACCGGCCAGAAGAGATGAGCCCAGACCCCTTGCCCAGGGCCAGGGCAGCGGGGACGGGGCACCTGGGGAGGGGACCTCTGAATCCTGACCACCTCGAATCCACAAGGAGGACTTTGGGCTAATTTTGGAGAAGGAAAGAAGAAAGTGTAGCGTTGGGCGAGGGAAGTGAATTGCAGAGGGGAGGGGAGAGGGAGAAAAAGCAAAAAAAAAAAGATGGAGGAGGAGACGCAGGTTCTCCTGGGCAGATGGAATCGGCAGCCTCCCAGAGCCTCCTAAGCCAGCCAGGTCCCCTCACTCCCGCCCCCTCTGAGAGGACAGAGCTCCTCCACGGGCCTCCTTGGGATCCACATTTTGGGGGGAAAATGAAAAAGCTCTGTGTCCCTCGCCACCTGCTTTGCAAGGACAGTTCAAGCCAAGAGAGTCTTTTTCTGGCCACCTGAGGGCGGGTCGCTGAGCCCGAAGGCTGGCGGGAGAAAGCGCGTGGAGAAGCTTTTCCTTCTGACACTATGCCAGACCCGAGGCCCCTCCGTCCTGTGCTGGGCCATCATGCATTGTGATGTGGGTGTTTGTATGTCCCCACCCACACCCTCACACACTGATTTCTATCGCCTCTGTCTGCTAGAATTGTAAACAGCTCTGCTCGCCTCTGTCCCCTGGGTTAGCACACACGTGCATGCTGTCCAAAGAAGGTTAGGGTTGGGGGTGACACGGCAGCAGGAGGAGACAGAGCCCTCTCCTGCAGGAGTACCTAGGATTCCCCCTTCCCGTCCCTGTACTTATACTCTAGTGGCCCCAGGTGCCACCAGCCTGCTCTGTACAGAGGCCCTGGCCAGAGGGGAAGTGCACCCCTACTCCATTGCTGGTTGACCGGGAGCCCTGGGCTTTGGTGTGAGGAAGCAGAGATATGTGTGTCCGTAGGGAGGAGGACTGTCAGGAAAGGTGACTGCTGAGCTCTGATACCTTCCCACCACAGGTGGCTCACAGCTGGCTGGGCAGGCCGCTCTGGCCAGTGCCGGGACTCTGCCTGACTCCTGCTGCTCGGGCCCCATTCCTGGGCTCAGGGCCCCAGCGCCAGCCTTATCTCAGCCTTGCTTATCTGCATGCTGCCTTTTGGGGCGCTGGGGATGGTGACTTCCTGCCCTGCCCTGTCTTTCCTGCAAGGTCCTCATGCTGGGGCTCATCCTGGGGAACCTGCTTCTCAGCTCCCTTCTCAGCAAGGCCCCAGGAGAAACGTGTGGTCCTGGTGTCCCCTCTGTAACACAGAGCCTCAAGGTCTGACTGGTTGCAGGCGCCTTTCAGCTGGGCTGCTCAGGGTGACATCAGCAAAGCTCCTAGGGCTGCTTCCGGAGCACCACAGGGCCTCCCCATCACGCCACAGCCTCGCTGTCTCCCTTCTTTCTGCCTTGGCTTCCCCAGCAGAGCCACACTGCCCACAGAGCAGGGGACAAAGAGCATGCATTTAGGTCAAAAGACCAAGGGTCCTTTTGGGCAGTGGGGAAGACCCTTGGCCACCACCCAGGAACTCTAAGCCAGAATGGAAACTTCACCAGGACTCCATTCTTCAGCCCACAGGGGCCCTCTGAAGAGTGGCATTGTACTGATATATAAATATATATAATATATACCTGAGACATACTGACAGAATCTGTAAGCTAATAAAATATAAGAAAAGGTTAAAAAATAGGTAAATTGACAAAAAGTATTTATTGTTTTCCCAGATTGCTCTGTTGCCTCCCTGAGCAGAAACCAGTCCCCGTCCCTTTCTTTACATATAAGTAGAGCCTGAAGTGGAGGGGCCTTTGTGGCCCGTGGCGTGGCTGGGCATCTCCTTGCCCTGGGCCGCGCTGGGGCTCAGTGGGGTGGGGTGCATATGCTGCATCCTGTTGGCCCCCTGATTCTCTGTCAATTAGGCCCAGCAGTCAGCTCCCTGCACATCTGGAGAGCTGACCTCGTTCCTACAGGCCTGAATGTGTGTGTGAGCCTGCAGGGGACCAGGTGTGTGTGGCCACGAGTGCGTGTGCGTCTCTGGGAGCTGTCCCTCTGTGGACATTGTTACAGGGAGCTGGAAAGGAAAGTGTCTAGATTAGACGGGGGGCAGAGGCCAAGCCCCCGCCGCGCTCCCCAAAGGGGAAGTCCCGGGCTGTGTGAGCTAGGTCCTTCCAAAGTGCCCTTCCTTCTGAGATGTTGAAGCCAAATATCTGAAGCTACCTTTCCTTATTCCCTAACGCACCCAAGGTCTCCTCTAAGATAGAAGGAGACATTTCCCCACCCGGTTTCTTTGTAAATACCTTCCTCTCCCGCTGCCTAGGCCGGCAGCCTCCTCCTGGTCGGTTGCCTCCTCTTGGCTGGAGGCTGGAGGACCCTCCGGAAGCCCGCCCTGCACGGGGACCGAGTCTGGGGTCAGCCTTCACACTTGCCTAGCCACTGCCCACCCTTAGCCCCTTCAGGCCTGGCCAGCCCCCGCACTCCAGGCCAGCCACGTGTGAGCCAGGGGGGCATCAGAGAGTGCTGGTGAGCTGGCCACTCGCTCTCAGCACACCTGTGGAGAGATCAGCACTTCAGGGGCCACGTGGTGGCCTGCCGCCCCGCCCTGCCCAGTGTCTCACAGGTGGACCTGGCACACACACACGCACATGCACACACACACACACACACACACACATCACTCTGCGCTGTAGTCTATGCTTGCCAAAGATTTCCTTTAAAAGAGAGAGCACTTTGACTCATTGTTATCATTTTATACGTGTTTATCCCCGCCTCCCGGCCCTTTGCCTGTTGTGTGTGTTGAATCTGTCGTCAGCAGGAGAGTGCTGTCTGGTCTGATGGGGGCTGAGGCAGGGAAGGGTCTGGAGAAAAGGCAAGAAAGAGCGGGAGACGCCTGGTCAGCACGAGGTGCTGCCTCTGCCTGTCCAGCAGGTCTCTGGGGCAGGCCTGGGCCTCACCCTAGCTGGCCGCCACAGGCATGGTGGGGACATCTCCGATTCTGCAAGGATTGGGGCCCAGGGAGAATAAGAGGGAAGGGCTGGGCCTGAGAGCCGTGGTGAGGTGACCCCAGAGGGGAGCCAGGGAAATGAGCTGTGTTTGTGGCTTCCAGGGGTGACGGAGGTGCCCCCCTGCCATCGTGGTGTCTTGGCTCCTTGGTCTAGCCAGGCGTCTGAGGACAGAAGCATCACCTCCTGGGTTGGGGACAGGCATTTTGAGCCATCTCGCTGACCCCCTCCCCCAGGAGTTGTGAAAGCTGAGGACACTGACTGCCAAGGATTCTTCTCCCTGACTTCTCAGGAACCCCCAGATGTGGTAGGGACCGGGCAGGATGGGTGGTGGGACCTGGGGCTGTGCGGCATCCTGCTATGAGGGGGCTCTCAGGAGGGAGAGGAGGGGGACTCTCCTGCTTCATACCCCCATCTAAGGAGCCCACCCCTGCCCACCCCTGGGGTCTTCTAAGAGCTTGGGGGCAGAGTTTCAGGGCCACCTCTTCACCCAGGGCCAGGCCCTGGAATGCTGAGACTCGTGTTCCCGTGTCCAGAGGTAACATAGGATGTGTGTGTGCGTGTGTGCAAGTGTGGACGTCTGTGTGTGTGTTTGGCTCATCTCTTTAGGGCACTTAGGGGTAAGGGGTTGAGGTGGTGCATGGCAGAATGTCAAGTTCAAGGTGACCCAGCGGTGAGAGCTATCAGAAGGGAGGCCTGTAGGGCCAGCGATTAGTGGAGTCTCAGCGTTGGGTGGCGAGGACCGGCCCCCTGGGCTGGGCTCAGCAGACCTGTTCCTTCCTGTCTCCCCTGTAAATGTGGGAGAGGACAGGGGACTCAGTTTCCCACACCTGGGCCGTTCCCAGCAACAAGGTTATTGTAGAGCCATGTCCCAAGCTTGTTTTCTAATCAGTGTTAAATGGAGTGACACTCTCCTGTGGGTCTGTGTTTGGTCTGTGCGTGTGAGTGTGAGCACGCCCAGGTGTGCCTGCTGTGTCCCCCCCACCCATTTTCTCTCCTCTCTTCAGACTTGTCATTCAAAACAAATGTCAGAAATTCCTTATCACAGCACCCCCACCCCGCCTCCCAGGTCCTCTGCAGAAAACCCCGAGTACCCCAGGGTCCTCCCACACCCCGCTGTGTATTTATATAGATGGAAATATACTTTATATTTTGTATCATTGTGCCTATAACTTTGCCACCTTGTATAAACCCTGATGTATGCTATTCGTCCTGGATATGAATGTACGGACCCCCACGCTGGCTCTCCCACTTCTGTACAGCGCCTCGGTTTCTTTGCGATCCATTGTATGGCTTTATAAATGATAAAACTTAAAGAAAAAACTGTATGGTGTTATCTAGCTGTGTTGTTTGGACAGGGGTTTCTGGAAGAAAGGGACCCTTCGCGAGCGTCAGATATGAGGGGGATTCAGTTCTCCCTCCGGTGGTTGATTCACCCCAAATTCTCCCAAACAACTTCCCCAACACCCAAGTCTATGTCTGGTCATTACTGGGTTGTTCATCTGGACTCTTTCATCTGGAAGAGAATCTCAATTCAAATTTGTTCAAGAAAAAAATGGCATTTATTAGGCCAAGCGCTGAGAAGGGCAGGCAGAGCCGGGTCCAGGGCGTCGAGGGATGGGATGGGGAATCTGTTCTCATCGCTTGTCCTGAGCTGGCCCAATACTCAGGCAGACTCTGTCCCAGTGATGGGGTCACAGGAAGCTCTGAGCCTTCGGTCCATCAGCTTGCTGGTCCAGGTAGAAAGAAGACTCCGTCTCCCTATGTTCTCAGGGAGAACCTGGGGCACATGCCCGTTGGTTCTGAGAGAGCCTGCTTCTGGAACCTTCTGTAACCAGCCACAGGGACTGAGAATGGGGAGGGCTGGATGCCCCTTGAAGGGGTGAGGTTTATCAGAGTAAGGGGAGCAGAGGCTGCCAGGTAGAATCTCCGGAGGCCGCTCAGGTAGTCCCCGTGGAGCGAGCTCACGCTGGGCCACTCGTGTTCAGAAGGATTGGGTGTGTGGTCCACGGAGGCTGCCTCAGCACA